ACCTGAGTTTTACGAGTCACCGCAGAAACATCTACTGGAGTACTAACTGATCTGATTTAATTTAAAAAAATATGACATGACTGACAGAAAATATAAAGTTATTAGCAAAATTGGATGCTTTAAAGACTAAAATTATAATAAAATATTTTTAAAATAAAACTCATGAAGTAGGTAATGTAAAAATATGTCAGAACGGACGAAATGATTCAAAAGGCTTTCAACAAATCGTGCCTGGTGCATTTTTAATTGTTCATCATTCAGTTTAGTTTCTCACGGTGGGCAGAAACTACTCAAGTAAGAATAGTGATACTTCATGATAATATCTTCAGCTGTTTGACTAAAACTGGACTCTAGAATACATGATGAGTCCAGATCATGATTCATCCACCACCATGCTTGAGAGTTGGTTTGATATGGATGAACTTGATGCGCCTTGTTGGCTCCGATTGGTGTGACGTGTCGCTGTCCTCCAGCGCAGCCCGGCGATCCTGCGGGGCGTGGATCTGGGCCCGTGTGTGGACAGGTGGACAGTTGAATACCTGGCTTTGAAAGGAGGTCAGAGGGAGGTGAAGATCCACGTCTCCTCCGTACCTCAGATGGATTTTCTTCATAAAAACTTCATCTACAGGTGAGCTCCAACATCCAGAGCTTCAGCTGTGATGGAGGAGCCGACCTCTAACCGTCTTGACGTTTTATCACCAGGACTCTGCCGTTTGATGAGTTCGTCAAGAGAGCAGCTGAGACCAAACACTCCGACTTCTTCCTGGCTGAGGTAGGATCGGATCAGCTGGATTTACTGCTGATCGTTTTCCTTCACTGGGGTAAACTCCTGACTTTGGTTTCAGGAGGAGAGCTACTATCTCCGCTCGCTGGGAGAGGACGTCCGGAAGGTAAAAGACTGAAACGACCTAAAGAAAACCTGAGTGTGGAGTTTTCAGTCTGGCTGCCTTTGGGAGGAGGATGATGAGGATGAGGATGATGAGGATGAGACATGAATGATTGGACAGCGTGTCTTCGTAGGCATTTCACACCTGATTGGAAAATGTCATTAAAAAAAGAGAAAATGTGAATTCAGCGTTTCCATCAGATGTTGACGCTCCGCATGGCTGCAGTAAACAGGAAGTAGACGTTGCTCACTACTTTGGACCAAAAGTCTAAAACAATAGAGAACGACTCAGTTTGGTGGCTCTGGTAAGGCATGGAAAAGTTCTCTACATCAGAACTTATTCTGCAAACCGTTTTCTATCTCCCTGTTAGAATGTTAAAGATTTTCTAGAAAAGTTTTAAAAAAAAAGCGAGTGTAAAAATGTTTTTATGAAACATGAATTTATTTATAATTTTGCCATTTCCTAATGCGATTCTTCACTATCGCACACGGCTGATCGAACATCGTCTGCAGCTTTACTTTCCATCAGTTTTAGTCTGTTAGAGCTGCAAGCGCTACATGTAGCATTGATTTTAGGTCCACTCTTACTCATGCTTCTTCCTGTTGATGTGAGGAGCGGCCATGTTGAAACTCAAAGTAAAACAGTGGAAGTCGGACTTCCCACTGGGAAACTGGGAGAAACTCCGACTGGCCCGACTTGTAAGGCCGACTTAGCGATTCAATATGGCCGCTCCTCGCATCGACAGCAGGAAGCTGAGGTGGAAACATGTTTATTTTAGAAGACATGAGTCTAAAATCATTGCCACATGCAGCGTCTGCAGCTCCAAACTGAACAGATTAAAGCTGGCGTTTGCTGATGGAAAGGAAATTTAACTTGATGTTTGGAAGCAGAAATGCGAACAGCAGCTGCTGGCGTCGCCATGTTGGAAACCTGATCACTGACTGTTGGTTCAGGTCTAACATCGAACCCAGCTCCGAGTTCGCAACGCAACAAAATCCTCAGACAAGTCCGACTTCGTTCCAGATGATTTTTCTGATTCTGGCTCCAAATGGACGCAGCGTAGTTCCTGTTAGGTTCTGAAAGCAGACGCGTCCTTCCGGTGTCACTCAGCTGGGTCAGTTCTGGGTTTCAGATGTTGAGTTTCTGGGTTCTGATGGGCTGCAGGTCCGGTTTTCCTCAGGTTGGTTCTGTCTCTGCAGGAACCCGCTGACCTGAGCAGACAATTCCCGGACCTGGCTGAGGACTTTCACACGCCGCAGTTCTTTGAACCGGACCGGTTCTTCTCCAGTGTTTTCCGGATCAGCTCCTGCGGTCTGCAGCTGTGGACCCACTATGACGTGAGTTCTGGTTGGACCGGGTCTCAGTGGCTTTAATGTCCGGGCCAGCTGTTTTCAGATTGCTCTGTTGTTGAAGGTGATGGACAACCTGCTGGCTCAGGTCACAGGAAGGAAGAGGGTGGCCCTCTACAGGCCCCAGGATGCATTGCACCTCTACCTCAACGGTGAGGACCTATGAAAACCTGAGCCTGATGCATCCATGTTTAAACTCTGAGGTAAACGGGTCGGTGAGGCGTTAAAGTGTCGCTTTGCTGATTCAACCCATCAGGTGACAAATCAGAGGTTCTGGACGTTGATGCTCCTGATCTGAAACGGTTTCCTGAGTTTATAAAAGCCCAGAGATACGACTGCGTTCTGGAGCCTGGAGATCTGCTTTTCATCCCCGGTAGGAAAATCCAGATTTCACAACTTTCAAAGCTCCCAGAAACTCTGGATGAACCCAAACTAACGTCCCATCGTCCTGTCCTCCCCAGCGCTGTGGTTCCATAACACCCTCGCTCTGCACTTTGGAGTCGGCGTTAACGTCTTCTGGCGCCACCTGCCTGCGGAGGCGTACGACAAGAAGGACCCTTACGGCAACAAAGACCCGGTGGCCGCTGCTCGGGCGCTGCAGACTCTGGAGAGGGCGCTGCACACTCTGGACGAGCTTCCGGCGGAGTACCGGGACTTCTACGGCCGGCGGATGGTCCAACGCATCCAGAACCGGACTTATTGCCACAATCCAGACTCAGAAACTACAATACCCAGAAGTCTGTCCCACAAACATGGACGAGTGTATAAAGATCTATGAAGCAACGGAAACAAAGAATATCAGTTATTTCTTTGTATAAACGTTGGTAAAGTTTCACTTCTTGGTTTAATTTATTCAGAATTAATTTTCCTGGAAAAGAGACAAAAATATAAAGAAATAAGAAATTGTTTTACTAATGTCTCTTCTTGAAAGTTCTCTAAATAGCTGTTGAAGATTTAACTGGACCAGAGAATTAAAACATTTTCATCAGATCAATGTCATTTTCTTCGTGTTTTGCATTTTAGGTTGGCTAGAAATCATCACTCCTTAAGATGCTACGTCTGATTAACCTCAGAGTTTACAACCTTTATTTACAAGTAATAAACTGACTAGTATCAAACACTAGAAGACCCTCAGGAAATCAGACACATTTTAATGAAAAACATTACGTTTTTTATGGAAGCCCATTTCCGCCATGAAAGAAAAAATAAAAGACCAACAGGAAGTCATAATTTCGACTTTCTCATAATTATGACTTTGAAAGTCGAAATTATGACTTCCTGTTGGTCTTTTATTTTTTCTTTCATGGCGGAAATGGGCTTCCACAGTTTCTGAGGATTTCTGCCGGTAAAATAAAGAAAATGTTTTTGTTCTTACCTCAATCTGTGGCGCCATCTAGAGTAGAGTCAGAACCGCCTGCTGCAAATGTGACTGCAAGAGGAAATAACTCCCAAAGTTCAGCAGATTTTATGCAATATGTTAGAATATGTTCTCATCTTAACTTGTCTTTGAGTTATTCTGTGTTATGCGTTCATGTTTTCTAATTTACTTTGAAAGGTAAAGCTACAAGTTCTATATCCTGTCACTTTGTTCATGTGCATGTTGTACTGCTGTTGTCCACCAGGGGGCAATGAGAGTGAGTTCTTGTGTAAAGGCAGCACTGTTCTAACAAGAGATATAGAGATGAAGTTAACCGAAGGCTGAACGTTAGCAATAAAGTGAACACAGCTATCTAACGAAAAGAAGTGTGATTCATTTTAAAGATGAGTACTGAACAAGAAAACACAACACAATACAATCTGACTTTTAGTCACTAGTTACTGAAACGCATCAAACATCATGCTAGCATGTTAGCATTAATAGCTAATTTGTCTCACACTAATAATCATTGCTTAAACTTAAAAAAAAAAATAAAAAATCTCTTATTTTTATATAAATGAATCGAGATCCTTTAAATAAAAACACGATATGGAGTCCTGATTATTCTGATGGGAACATCATTCAGATTTTAAAAGCATTTTAGCTAATGCTACCAACATAGAAATCATAACGGTTAATCTGATCTAAACTAAAGCTAAAATGTTAGCTAGTGCTAGTATGCTAGCCAATGTCAACTTTCCAAGGGATTCAGTAACATTTAAAACTTATTTCCACAGTAATAAACATTTCCAATTCAGTTCGTTTGAGTCCCACTTCAGCATGTTTTTTAATATTTTAACAGACCTAATAAAAGTTTCTGCTTCAGTTTCTCCTTCAGCAGAGCAGCTGCACATTCAGCTTTAACATATGGGAAAAGATCACTGCCAATTGTACGTGTTGGAATCTAAATTTGTCACCAAATGTGGATAAATTTAAGATTTGCTTGTGTTCCATGTTTTTCAACTCATACATATGAAGTCAGGTTTTATCTGTGAGAATACAAGTTTAAAAATTACGAATCAAATTACAATTCTGCAATAAAACAAGTCCAAAAATCAGACATTTACATGTTCTTCCATTCATAATGTCAGTAATTTTTACAGCTTCATTGCTGATTTGAACTCGTAAATTTGCGATCTGTTCTGTTTCCAAAAATTAAAAACAGAATACAAATCTTAAACTTATTCATATTTACTGACAGACTCCTGCATGTACATTTCTTATTAACAGTGATCTTGCCCCGTACTCACACAGTATTTAATGACGTCCAGGCTGCAACACCCTGAAACGAGGCACTACATCTGCTGTGGGACCTGCAACAGTCCAACAACACACAGTGGAAAAACGAAGAGTCTCAGATATTTTATTGCACAGACTACAGTTCTTCATGTGTCCTTACAAACATTTAAAGCTTTGTAAACAGTGAACAGCATCTCCCCAGTGTGTTTGGTAACTCCTGCTAACCCTCCTCTCAGTCCCTGTGTTTCCTCAGCACGTCTCAGCGTTTCTACAAGCCAACCAGTGACCGACTACAGGAAGCAGCTTGGAGACGCGGCTACGGCATCCAGTCAAACTGCTGCGGTAGAAAACCGACGGTGAAGGACAGGAGTGATAGGAAGGAATCGATCCTGTAAAAGGTGTTGAGTTCATGTTCATCCAAGAAACTGGGTAACAGTTTGTGTGTCAGTGGAGACGGACAGTCACACAGCCTGAACTCTGCCACCTGCAGCTGGAGCTGAAGAAGAGCGTCCACACCGACCCGTTTGGGTCCAGGATCAGCGCCGAGCAGAATTCCTTTCCACGGGGAGCAGACAGAAAATGGCACGTTGGGAGTTGGGTAGTTTGGAGGGATCCGGACAGGTTCTGTTACGGCGTCTGGGCCATGCCCCGGCTTGACTTCATCTTCTCCAGCCTTTTATTCAGGTGGCTGTTGCTCGACTCCAGCTCCTCGATCTTATCCAGCGCCGTCCGCAGCTGTTGGACCAGAGGAGAATCACAGTTAGCCTGAACTCTGCTTCCTGAACAGACCAGCTTCCAGAAACACCGTGCCTCTCTCTGCAGTTTGCGTTTCTCCGCCTTCAACTCGTCCTCCACCTTCTCTGCGTTCTCCGCTGCAGATTTGTAACGAGTCACATGACCCTCCAGTCTGGTCACCTGCACACCAAAAAGACCACTCAGAACCCCGATGAGATCACAGAACCGCTCTAAAGTACTCACACCTGTTCAAGGTTTTCACATTTTGTCACATTCAAATCAAACTTTAACAAAAGTTCTAGAATTAGACATTTTTTGTAATTTTTATTTTAAAGTTCAATTTCTAAATATACCCTAACATGATCCAACATGTAACAAATTCATAAAATGAGGTTCGATCACCTTGTTTTGCTTTATCGATTATTTAACAGAATTAAATTGAAGTGTTGTACCGAGTTACGCCACAAGGTGGCGGTGTTTCCCATGTGACGGTTTGATGCATCGTTTTCCTGCTTTATTTCTCACGGGAAAAAAGACAAGTAAAAAGTCTCCGTCTTATTTTTGTTTAATTTTAGGTTGACTAACGTCACTAAGCACATGAATATGATTCCCATGAAGTTTTTCTCTTATAACATTTGTCATTGCATAACCAGTCTTATGTAGACTGTTTTAAGAGTGAAATGGCATGCTAGTTGACCGGCTAGTTAGCTTATCAAATAAGCGATTAGGTCATTTCTGAAGTTCCAACCAGTAAGAACTATTTAAGTTTGAGGTTTGAATGTGATCCAATTTAAACAATAAAACTGAGGTGTGAATACTTTTCTAAAATAAAGCCTGCGGAGCAGTCAGACGATCTCTTGCTCACGTTTTGCTCTAAAGCCGTCACTTCCTGTTCCGCCTTCACCAGCTTGAACTTCAGGTCGTTTATTTGCCTGCTGGAGTCTCCTGGAGAAGAATCACAGGAAAACGCTCGTTTGTTTGAGACGTTAAGGAAAACCCAGAAGTTTTGTCCACGGCCCGCTCCACCCACTCTGTAACTCCATGATGTTCGGGTCGTTCCCGTTTTCAGCAACTTCCCCGTCTGGACTGGAACCGCCGTCTGCGCCGTCCTTCTGGTCCAGCTGGGATTTTAGTTTCTTTATCTGCAAAAGGATCTCCTGATGTTAAACCTCCAGATTCATAAATCACCTCATCTGCATTTCCTTAAACTCACCTGCTCAATCATTTTTTCACGCTCATCCACTAGTTTCCTCAAACGAATCTCTGAAAACGGACAAAACATCGTTCATGAGTCAAATAAATGATGTTTTGTTTCATTTATCAGTTCAGTTTCAGACCTTCCTGTTATCTGTTGAAGAGATCTTCATAAATAATTCTTCATGTTCTTGTTAAATTAGAAAATCATTGCTACCTCAATTCCTGGCTTCTTTAATGTTCCTTAAGATTTGATGCTAGATGCTTTGTGAAACTGGAAGCGTAGGAAAACATACTGTTTAAATACGGCATCTGTTTTTCTGACATCCAGCTTAAACCGGTCATTCTTTTACTGAACGTTCACAAAATGGTTTTAAACATTCTGTTTTTAGTGCAGAATAATCTAGTCCAGGTTTTAAGTATTGAAAGTTTCAAACTACAGCAAATTAAAGACACTGAAAGTCGTGGACGACCAGCCTTTAGCCTCAACACACTGGTTGTTAGACTATTCAAGACTAACGGTCTATCCAATGTTAACTCTAACTTAGCTAAAGCTAATGCTAGCCTGCCTGTGCTAATGGACAGCAGAGGACAAAGGCAATCCAGACAGTCCTCAGCTTAGGCCTGCTAATCATCTCCAAAGCTAATGCTAACTAAGGCTCCTCCTCATTTGGACTTGGTTAGCGGTACCGGATCAGTAGCTTCTGAAGGGATATATTCTCCTGCGACATGAATGTAGCCACCGCTAGATGAGCCATAGTCTGAATTTTGGCACCAATACCGCAACATCATGTGTTGGGGCAGGACGACTCAAGAACCAGAGCAGGAGCTAAATACTGACCGAGAACCTCTCCAACTGTTAGCAGGAATTCCCAAAAATCTTTTTTTGTGTGTGTGTGTTTTTTGCATGTTTTTATGTAAAAACATCTACAAATAGCGATTAATGTAACTGAGTGAAAAAGCAAAGTCTTATCTTCCAAATTTCCAGAAAGGAGAAGAATCAAGACTTTCCTACAGCATCGCAGATCAAATCAATAAATACAGCAATGATTTATTTAAAGGGAATGTGTGAACGTACCGCAGGGTGGCAGCAGCCAGGGAGATGGATGGGGAGGAGAACCAAGGCATGCAGCGCAGCAGCATCCAGGAGGGACGGGAGGGTGATGGTGTTAGCATGCACACAGTCAATTACACACACCGCCGCTTCGTCAAAAAGTTTCAGTAGATGTTTATTTAGAGCAACGGTAACAGCAGGTTTTAACGGTTTAGTGCAACAAGATGCAAACAAAATCAAAGTCATTCTGAACTCCAGAGGGAAGCTGAGAGTCTGATCTGCTCTCCAGGTAAACAGAGAAAAACATGCAGAAGCTGCTTTGGCCTGAAAGTTTACAGTTAAACCATGAAGGCAGTGGAACGGCAGGAAGACGGCAAACATGATATCAGTTCAATAAACCAGAGATGGACAGTTCAGGTCACTCAACTTCTCTTGCATTCAGTTCATACAGGAATACATCAAAGTGCTGAGAGGACTTTAAATATTCTGAGAACTTGTAGAGAGCTGAACTCTCCAGCAGAGGGCGCTTTACGCCACATCGCTGTGTAAGTTTTTCTGTGGTTTGGGCCACATGCAGACCAGAGATGGTGAACCAAGCAGCTGGCTGGTCTGGGATGGGAGCCAGAGCTCAGCAGAACTTCAGGGAGTTTGACTGTGGGTTACCAGGAGGTCTGATGGAGCAAACCCACATCTGATGGAGCAAACCCACATCTGATGGAGCAAACCCACATCTGATGATGTGTCAGCATTCACATGACTGACACAAACTCTCAAACAACAGAAAACGCTGCAACCACAGGAGATAAACGCAAAAGGTAAAATGCCATTAATGGTAAAAACAGCAGCAAATGCAAAATGCTGCAAACTGGCTCCATGAAACATTAGTCCTCCACACCACCAGGGGGAGTTGGTCACCAAATCATCTGGGTCCAGACCCTCAGTAAAGTCCAGAAGAAAGTTGGAAAAGGTATATTATGCTTCATATCTTTTACATAACAGCAGAATATATATGTACCTGCTCCAGACTCCCCCTAGTGGTCTGGAGGACTTCTGTTTGTGGAACCAGGTTGCAGCATTTTACGCTGCCTGCTGTTTTTGCTTATTTGCATCATTTTCCCTTTTGCTTCTGCTTCCTCTGGTTGCAGTGTTTTTCATTTCACTTTTTGTTGTTTTTGTGTTTCGGAGTTTCATTCATGCTTTCCCAACGTGTTTCGTCGTCAGCCATCGTCCTAAAGGGATGGAAATACTCCACAAGAACCAGGACATTTGTTCTGTCTCCAGAGGTGTTTGTTTGCAGATCTGATCTGGGAGTTCGCAACTGGTCTAAAATCTGAAGTGGGCGTGGCTACAGTAATGGTGTGTGATGCGGTGGAAGTTCTGCTCTTGGGTTTCTAGAGATGTACAAAACGTCCTGAACGGACAGAATCTTGTTTTGTTCGTGCCGAATCGCATAGAAGCAGATTTCTCTGGTTCTGAAACATGGTACCAATGAAACAACGAGTGGATTTTCTGGTTCCATCATCGGGTCACTGGGACATCAAACCCCATCAAACTCCATGAAGTGCTGCTATCACCGCCTCTGGTTGCTTCAATAGCCAGTACTGATGAAGTTCTAGATGTTCCAGCTCTTTGCAAACTGAATCCGTCACTGGTGTGTATGTGGTCCATTTTAGACCCGTCCTGCTGAGTGTTGGACCCTGTTGTCCCAGACCAATTAAGACATCTTACAGTCCTCTTTATTCTTGCCTTTGCCTTTCTTCTTCTTTGGGTCTTTCCCTGCCTGTGGTACCTCTTTGGCGCCATCGGTTTGTTCTGGAGTCTTTTGTGGATCTGAAGGAACCTCGGTGGCATCTAACCCTTCCTCAACTGTTGGGGACGTTTCCTGCTCAATGTTCTCTGGAACATTTTCAACCTTTTCAGGTGGGTTGTCTCCACACGGCAGGTCATTTTGAGTTGAAGGCTGATCAACTTTGCTATCGTCATCCTCGGAAACCTCCTCGCCATCTTCTGTCTTTGTCTCCGCGTTACTTTGGCAAAGCTCTGAATTCTTCCCGTTGACTTCAGCTCCTTTCTCATCGTCTTCCTGTTCCAGTTTGTTGCACAGAGCAGATTCAACAGCTGCTTCCACATCCGAGTCATCAAAATCAAAAGACTGTCCTTCGTCCTCCTCTCCGTCGTCCTCGTCGCTGTCCAGCTGAACGTGTGGAGGTGAATCATCCCCCTCAGGTTCCTCCATGGACTCCTTCACCTGCTCAGCACCTTGAGAAGAGTTAACCTCCTCAGTGTTTGGACAATCTTCAGGCTCTGGGCGTTCAGCAGACGCTTCCTTCTGCTCCTCTTTGGGAGGAGAACCAGTATCTCCAGTTTCTGCTTTGGTTAGATCCGCTAACTCCACCTCATCTTTCATGTGTAACAGTGGATCTTCAGGTTCTCCTCCTCCTCCATTCAACTCTTCATCATCTCGGCAGATTTCTTCAGAGGTCTCGACCTTTGGCTCTCCATCGTCTGGCTCAGCTGCCTCCTCTGGTTCCCTCATGCAGGGCTTGGGGCTGTTTGAGGTTGGCGAGGTTTCGGGTTGATCTCTGGCGTCATCGTTTGCTGGTGATGCAGATGTTTCCTCATTAATTTCAGGACAGGTTCTGGACTCAGGAACTCCATCATGTTCTTCACCAGCCAACTCAATGATGCTTTCAGGGTTGTTAATCATCTTCCCGTCTCTATCCATTGATTCTGACTTGGTGCGGACATTTTGGACAACAGCGACGTCTTCTGGTGAAGAGCTGTCTGGAGGAAACGCTTCTTCAGGATCTTCACTCTTTCCAGAAGTCAGGAGGTTTGCTCCTCGATCAGAGCCGGTTTCAGATTCCATCTCTTTAACATCTTCAGCCGTTTCAGACACATTGGGCCCCTTAATTGTTTCAGCTTGGGAAGTTTCTGTGGTTTGCAGCACTGATTCATGTTTCTCTGGTTCTGAAGTTCCTTCCTGGTTCTGCAGAACCTCAACAAGCTCCTCATCTGGAGTTTCAGATGATTCCACAGGATCAGTTTCCTCTTCCTGGTCTCCTGAAACGTGATCATTGTTGGGTTCCTGGAAGGCTGGGGTGGCAGCGGTATCGTCACATGATGGAAGGTGTTTCTTTGGACCTTCATCACCTTCGTTTGAGGGCAGATTTGTTTCTCTAGCATCACCTCCAGCCATCTTGGCCTCTGGAACAGAATCTTCCAGTGGTTCATCTAGGAGGAATCCTTCAGGGGGTTCTGCAGTTTCTTTGGCTGTTGGAGATGCTTCCTCGTTCTGTTCGTCCTCAGAAAGCTCTGCTCTCGTTCCAATCTGACAAGATGTTTCAGAAGATCCCACAGTATCACTTTGTTCCAACATCTCCGTGTTTCCGGTTTTCCCTTCATCTCCTGAAACATGATCTGTGGTTGACTGTTGGAGATCTGAGGTGTCTTCTCTTGTAGGGATATCTTCACTCGAATCAGGATCATCTTTGCTCTTACATGTGACAAGATTACCTTCTTGATCAGGACCAGTTATTTCAGATTCCTTTAGGATGTCAACAGCAGAACCTTCATTTGGCTTTTCTGGATCTTCACATTCCTTGTTCTGCGTATCATTAACGATCTCCACTCCAAGACGAGGCACCTGGGTTGATCCCAGAACTTCAGCTCCTTCTAACATCTTGGTGTTTGTATATTTCTCTTGGTTGTGACCTTCTGAACCCGGATCTGTGTTCGGTTCTTGCAGATTTTCCTTGGTAGAAACATTTTCAGAGGGCTCCAGATCTTTTACTTTCTCAGGTTCTTGGTTGACTTGAGGTCTAGCAGTGGACCCACTGTTATCCTGTTCTGCTGTGAGCCCGTTATTCTGTATGACTGAATCCTTTCTGGTTTTTTCGTTTTGCTTCTCGGTTCCAGCTTTTTGTTGGTCTTTGTTTTCATGAGTTCCTCCTTTTTTCTTTCCCTTCTTCTTCCTTTTCTTCTTCTTCCCAGACGCGGTAGAGGCCTGAGCTTGGGACTTACTCGCCGTTTCCTCAGCCTCGTCATTTTCTGCCTCCTCAGGTTCTTGTTGAGGTTCGGAGTTCAATCCAACTGGAACAGCTTGTTTAGCTAAAGATTCTGTCGTAACAACTTCTGACCGTTCCTGACCTCCTGAAAGGTCACCACCAGGTGCTTCAGTGCCGGTACTTTGGGTTTCGGTTAAACCTGGATGACTGATGGAATCAACCTCAGATGTTTCTGTTTCTCCAGATGTCTGGATCAACTGAAGATCTTGGCTGACAACGATTACGGCTTTCGCTTTAGGATCTGGACGATCAATCGGATCTATAGTTATTTGACCATCGAGGTGACTTTCCTCAGAAGGAAGGCAGGTCTGGGCTTCTGGAGCCTGTCCATCGCAGCTCAAGTGATTCTCTTTGACGTCCTCCAGTGTTTCTTCTTGCTGCTCTGGAGCCATGTCTTCCTCTCTGCAAGCCCTCAACTCCTCTGTGCTGCCTGGGAGATCATGGAGAGCAGACGGTGATAGACGGCCAACAAAAACAGCTTTCTGCATTGCAAAGTTCATCAGGAGGCGCCAGCAGCAGTAAGGGACAGGAAGAACAATGGACCAATTTGGTGAAGCTCAGAGCCAAGATGTCTGACAGAAGCAGGAGAAGCGAAACAGGAAAAGAAGAACACCTTCATTCCCCACCAGTTGGGGACGAGAGGGAAGCCTGGAGCTGAGTTTACACCATCATCAAGAGAAAACGGCGTGGATCGCACCAGGAGGCGGCCGCTCAACACTTCAGCGCTCATAACCCGACTCCCATCAGATCTGGAGACGCCCCATTAAAGCCAGAGCAGAAAGTAACTCACACAAAGGAGGAGGAGGAAGTCTGCAGAGCAGACGTTGGCTTCGAGGGAACAGCTAGATGTCAGATGCATGTGTCCTACTTAAAGGAACAGTTTGGTTTTTCAGAGGAAAGGTTTAAGCAGTCACTGTCCTACCAGTTTGGACTCTTTACAGGCAGTAATGGAGGACAGAACCTAAACCCTTAGACCGACTACTGATGTGGAGTGAAGTGAGGCTCACACAGTCACTGTAAGGTTCACTAATGTAGTGTACGCTATACTGGTTTGATAAATGAGGAGTCGGAGGAACAATGCTGGTCAGAATTGGAGCCTAAACGACTCAACGTCTCAACTCACAATCACCCGACTTTAGCTTTCCAGAAACTATTTTTGTTATTATCATTTCAGGAAATAAGCAGAGAATATTACAGATATCAATACTAACTATTTACAGCTACTGACTGCTTAAAACTTCTCCACTGAACCTGAAGCATCAAACTATCCCTTTAAGAATTAAAGCTGGTGATTCTCTTTGTTTTCAGAAAGTCAATTATAATTTTTACTAATAAATGCCGTTTCTGTGAATTATTACAACTCATTTTACTGTCGATTCGTTACCAACGATAGAAAAGTTGATAAAACTGCAATAATCTTTAATCAGATCCTTCTGGGTTTGAAGGTTCAGTAAAATCATATCTGAAAAACAGAATTTTAGAAAAACTCAGAGGATCACCAAACTGGAAGCAGTGAAACGAATCAGGATGAGGAGGTGGAGGAGCATGGGTCAGAGTTTGGCAGCGTTCAGAGGGAGGAGCAGGAGAAGCTGCATGCCTTCAGTCTGAGCCCAGCAGCAGCAGCAGTTTTTACCAAGGACGCCGTTTCCTTCTGAGGGAGCCGCCTGGGCCGGCCGCTCCGCTCCAGCTGACCCGTCCACCTCCGACGGCCCGGCGTCTCCGTTGATGTTCAGGTCCGGTCCCAGGACTATCCCGTGTTTCTGCACAGAACAGCTAGCATGTTAGCGGCAGAGAGCGGCGCAGAGGAAACCAGCAGGGGTTCCTCTCGGTACCTTCAGAATATCCTTCAGCTTCACCGCCTCCTCCCTGAGCTCATCCCGCTCCATGCGGATGGCGTCTGAGTATTCTTTCTGCCGCTCCAGCGCCTGAGCGGCAGCGGGAAGCAGAGAGGAGCAGTGAGAAGACGCAGAGCGGAAACATTTCATGCAAAAGGAGGAACGGGGTCAGAGGTCATACCCCAATCTTTTTATCCTTCCACTCCACCGTCTCCTGGAGGTCGGATATTTCTCTAACGTAACCGTCCTGCTTCAGCCGCAGCTGGCGGATCTCCTAAAGAGCAGGAAGACGGAGAAGAAGTCGACAGAAAGAAGGAAAGTGAGGCTGAGGAGGAAGTGAGTGCAGCCGTACATGCAGTAGAACACGACGCAGCCGGACACCACGCAGCCCGACACCACGCAGCCCGACACGACGCAACCCGACGCCACACAGTCCGACACCACGCAACCCGACACCACGCAGCCCGACACGCTAACTGGTTGGAGCTGAGAAGCGAGCTGCTGGGTTCCTGTCAGACTTGAGCCTGACTACAGGAGGCCGTTCGTAAAGTTACACGATAAAATCAGCAATAACTTAAAGAAAAAAATTTGCTCCATGTTTAAAAACATACTTCCACATTGTTATTAAGACATTTATAAATTTCATAGTTTCAAGCCAAATAAATATTTAATTATTTAGTTATATTTAGCCTGCTAGCTAAAATTAGCTTTTAAATTAATTATTTAGTTTGGAAACTGCTAACACAGCATTACATTTTACTCATAATAAAGCCCTTTAAACCTGAAATCTCAAAGTGCTCCTTCACAGACGATGCTACAGGATGTAGCCGCATCTGCCCTGGATGACCGAAGCCAGGCTATTCTGACCTACTCAATATTTAGCTTGATAACTAAATATTTAGCTCCTAGTTCTTGTTTGATTTCCTATAAGTTAGCTTTAGATCAAAGTTTAAGACTTCCAGTTTATTCATTTATAAGAGAAAATTCTTACATATGTAATAACTTTAAGTCATTTTTGGTGATAATTGACTCAGATAATAATAATAATAATAACAATAATAATAATAATTGTAATAACTCTCCTTCACTTGACACCAAATTTCAACCTGATCTGATGTGGAATTTCAAAATTAAAGCCTTTAATTTGAATCTTATGTGTAAATTTACAAGCGGTCCATGTGGCTCCCTGAGGATGAGGAAGATGAGGAGGAGGGAGAGGAGCAGCACTCACGTTCAGCAGCTCTTCGCTTTGCTTCAGGGTCTCCTTCAGCTCATCAAACTGGAACTGCAGGACGCTGTGAGCGTGTTTCTGCCGCTCAAACTCCTGCAGGGAACAGCAGAGCTGGTGAGGAAACCGCAGCTAGCATCTGGAGCTAACCCGCTAACATGCTAATTCTCGAGCTAACCCACTAACGTGCTAATTATGGAGCTAACCTGCTAACACGCTAATTCTCGAGCTAACCCGCTAATGCCCTAATTCTGAAGCTAATCCACTAACACGCTAATTTTTGAGCTAACCCGCTAACGCGCCGATTCTGGAGCTAACCTGCTAACACACTAATTCTCGAGCTAACCCGCTAACGCACTAATGCTGAAGCTAACCCGCTAATTCTCGAGCTAACCCGCT